TACCATCTATACAATGCACTGTTTCCTGAATTTCAAATCAGTGTGCAAAGTATTAAAAAATCGCTTTGAAAAAGGGTCTAAAATGGTAATTTTCTCAATTTGGCAAAATGCCAAAATCCCCAAAGCTAAGCGTTGTTAAGCCGTTATGTAGAATTACAGTTTAAAAAAAATTATGCTGTTATACTAGAGAGGAATAATGGTAGTTTTGAAACAAAAGTAGATTTTCCCATTCTCTTGTTTCTTTTAAGCTCATTTTTATTCAGTAAAACCTACAAAATCACGTTTTTTGGTCAAATTTTAGGAAGAATTTACAGGTGAAACAATAGGTGCCGTTACCATGGCAACGAGACATTTTTTGAAATAAAAAAATATAAAACCATTAATGATGTGACAATGTGAGTACACACAAAAAGTTTCATAGAAATTGAAAATGTAGCGTGGCCAAGCATTATTGACATTGTTTGATAATTACAGAGAATTGATATTAAACATGCAGAGACCTTACAAATTACAAAGAAGTCTGAAGAAAATTTTTATTGGACAGATGGGTGTAAAGCACAGACCTGAGATATAAATTGAATTGTGAGAAATATGAATCAGGGATGCAGGTAGAAAATGGCAAATGTGATCCAGATTGATAAAAAGTGTCTAAAATTTTTTCTTGTTTTGTAAATATTCAATGCTATGTCAATTGTTATTTTTTCCCCAATACCTAATAGTGTTGAACATTTCACTCCCACTTTTGCTTAAATAGAATGAATAAATTTCCATTTATTTAATATGAATATTAAAAAATGCCACATTTTTTCCATGATGAACTTGTGGCTTAAATAAGAGTTCGTTTTTTTTCCATACATGCTCCTATTTGTTTGTCAAAGATATAAGATCCAATACATTGCTCATGAACATAATGTGTAATTTTGTTCATTCATTTATATGTTTTTTTTCTCATAATGATATAATAAATTGTATATAATTTTGCACATTGTTGATGGTTTTGTAAATATTTATGTATGTATGCATCATGTAGCGGTTTTATTAGCCATTTTATAACCATGTGATTAACTCCGTATTTTCTCCAGATTTCCGTATTTCCGCATTTTATCAACCAAGTAAATACCTCCATATTTTGTATATATGGAAATGCGGAAATCTGGAGAGAATACGGAAAAAGAGTCCAAATACTCCCATCCACATTTTCTCCATATTTTGAATACGGAGAAAATCTGGAAATTTGAATCTACGAAAATCTGGAATGAATGCGGAAAATTAGTCCAAATACTCCCGTCCGCATTTTTTCCTTATTTTGAATAAGGAAAAAATGTGGAGATCTGAGGTGCGGGATTAGGTCCCTGATTTGACCATAATTGTTTTATTTTTTTTTTTTACATGTTCTTTAATATTCTTCTGTCTCAGACACTTGATGTTTTAAATCTTTCTTTACATAAATAAAAAAAAATTCCCAATACTATTATATTAAATTAATTTTTCCACTCTTAATTATCTCAAGTTTTCCTTTCGAACTAACATTTAATGCTTTAAAAAAACCGGATTCAAATTCTTGAAATTCAACAACTGCAGTAATTCAAAACATTGCAGATAATATTCCATCCTATTCAATATCCTTCTGAACACTTGATTTAGACATACATATTCCAACCCTTCCAACATTCCCCTCTGCTTCTAGAAGGGTCTCAATCGAGTGGGCCCCAGGGAAAATACCCTTTGAAAATGGCGGGGATGTCAAAATATACAACCTTCCTCAGAGAAATTAAACAAATTCTTAAACATTTTTTATTACAACAGCTTTAGAATATTTACCTCAATTTTTCATCATCTCTGGGCTCCTGTAATGCACTTTCGACTGAAAAATGTAATGAACTGATCTGAAAGTCTGCTGCGCAGTTACCTGTTACTGCTTTGTGAATTCAGTTGTGAATTATGTTCAAACATCATGCTCACGTGATTTGATTACGTATTCATCATTCATTACTCTACTGCGGTCATTAAATCGTGAAATGTGTATAAACTAACAATGTATTAACTCTAGTACTCTACTCACATTAGAATAAAAACAACACAAACATACAATGCCTGACAGCCAGCCGTGATTGCTGGACGCCCGTAATTTATTAGTTTTACATACATGTACATGTATTACATACAAATGTATTTTGCAATGCAGAAAAACATGACGCTATCTGTCCTTTTCTTTAGGCTGTTTAAAATTAAAACTACGTTTAACGTCACCCGCGCGCGTAGGTTTATGAGAAATTCGTCTTTGAAAAAAACAAACAATTCGGAATTCCGTATGTCTGTTCCGGTTTGGTTCTACAATAAGCGACTGAATTCTGCTTCCCGTAGTGACTGAAAATGTGCTTTGATAAATGCAGTTGGTGTCTTATTAAAGAAAACTAGTGAATTAAAGAGTTTGGGACCATAAATGTAAGTAAAAAATAGATGATTTTATAATTGAAGTTAATGACAAAGTCTAGTTTGTTGATTTTTTTGTCAGTCTTCGAATCACATGTTCAAACTGACAGTGACAGACTCTCAGTTCGTGATTCTATTGGCTGAACTTTTCATTGTATTTTGGAGAGAATCAAAAAACTTTTTTACCTAGTGGAAAGTGTGTCAAAAAACCAATATCTATATACAGTGAAAAGCATCATTCAAATCTTATTTGATATGATATTTCTGTAAAAATCGAATGGAACAGTAATGAGTAAAGTAATTGATTTCTTCATAATTCATGTACCTACAAATAGCTACAATTTTTGGAAAAGATAATACTTGTCTTAACCATTTGAGCAGGGAGAAGCTTACTGAAGATAGGGCCTTTCAAGTGAAGGAGAGTAAGGAAAGAAGTTGGGGTATTCCAAGATGTGAAGAATCCTGTCCTTAGTGTGGAATTCAAGGTATTAAAAATAATCTAACAGCTATCATTATGGTCCAGATATTAGTATTCACACTTTCAAAACTTAATGCTAGTAGATCTAGTACTAAGAAAAAATACGACATAATTCAATTTGAGATATTTCAACATGAACAGTCTTAAATATTGTCATCAATAATTTTAATTGTAGATATTGATCAACTATTCCCATAAGAAGCATTTGCCTCCAGGGTACCATGGACGTGTGGCAATATAAATCCAAAGGACAATTGAGGCCTAGTTAAAAGTCACTTTCCAGCACATTCAGTCTTAGAATACATTGTTTGCTAACAATGGGACTCTAACTGATTTACATACTAAGAAAAAAATCTGCTATGGAAATTAATCTTAGGTGTCATATCAATTTAATGCTCTTATTACTTAATTGTAATGTTTTTAATGTAGTGAATAGGTTAGTTTGAATAAATTCACAATTGTTTGAAAATTTTGTTTGTTTATTTTTTTCCTCCCTCCCTCGTAGGTTTTGAACTTTAGATGTGACGTTAAACGTAGAATTAACTTTAAACAGCCTTACATGACAGCACAGTGCTTAAAATTCTTAATACCCCCTTTACACAGCATCAGGGCCGGCCAGGAAAAAACTAGAGATAAAACGATGAAAATCGATTTTAAACAAGATGTGTTTGTGAAACACAGATGCCCCCGTATGGCAACATAGTAAAGATTAAACTTTTCTTAAATGCAAATTTAATTAATTGGTAACAAAAGTAGGGTATTCTCACTGGAAAACTATTGTGAAATATGAAAATAAGCCAATGTTAAAGTTTTTTCAATAAGTACAAAAATCTCCAAGGTCAAAAGGTCAATGTAATTGTATCAAATGAAAGCTCTTGCAACATTTAATACTTATGGAGAGTATGGAAGGCCTAGCCCTTACTATGGCACGCCAAATTCACAAAAATGAGATAATCATAGTTTCACAATCGATAAACTAGGTTTATCGGTTGTTAACTATAGTTTACGGACTGTAAACTATAGTTAACAACGTTAATCTATATTTCACATCTGTAAACCATAGTTAACGCGATAATCTATGTTTCACAACCGTAAACTATACCACAGGAGTCTGAAGTTTTAATCGTCAAAAAAAAAAAAAAAAAAAATTCCGGAAAAAAATTTTCCTACCCTTAACTAAAAAAACCCCAGGATGGCAACGTGTTTTGGGGGGACCCACCTATACAAATAGATCTGGGCTTGGTCGGAAAAATCTCGCAACTAATTTAGTATCCGGAGTGTTTGTCCTATTTATTCAAGTTAAGAAATCAAATCTGCTTGACGACTACGGGCTGTTCATGGCCTGTTTTCCAGTTTGACAGCTCATCCTGGACTCCATGCCACTAAACCGGAAGTGAACTCCGAGGTGAATATATGACGTAATTGAAGAAAAGAACCAAAAAAAATGCATGTAAAACTTCATGTACAATTTTATGTTACCATACGTGATCAATAAAAAGATATATTTTTCAAACAAAATAATGCTTTATAAGGGCGCTTAGTCTAACTGTCTGGCTCTTTGTCGACATGGCTTTTCAATGATTTAAATTTGGCGCTTGTAAAAACTGAATTATCTGTCCTTGGTACACATCGTCGTACAAGTAAGAAAAAGAATAAATAACTTTTTAAAGTTCTCTTAAATATATTTAAAATAACTGAATAAAATTACGTTGAACAATTATTTATTTTATTTCATTTGAACAAGTATTCATAAACGTCAAATATACACTGCGAGATTCTCTTCCGGTTTAGTGGCATGGAGTCCAGGATGAGCTGTCAAATGGAAAAGGGGCTAGGAACGGCCCGTAGTCGTCAAGCAGATTGAATTTTTCACATTAAATGAATAACAAAAACGCTCCGGAAACTGAATTAGTCGCGAGATTTTTCTGGCCAAGCCCAGATTTATTTGTTTAGGTGGGTCACCCCAAAACACGTTGCCATCCTGGGGTTTTTTTAGTTGAGGGTAGGAAAAAAATTTTCCGGTTTTTTTTTTTTTTTTTTTTTTTTTTTGGACGATTAAAACTTCAGACTCCTATGACTATACTTAACACCGAAAACTATCATTAGCGATTGCAAAACATAGATTATCTGATAAATACAGTTTTACGATTTGTAAACTATAGTTTACAAACCGTTAACTATAGTTAACGAATGTTAATTATAGTTTACGATTGTAAAATATAGTTTACGATTGTAAATTATAGTTTACGATTGTAAACTATAGTTAACGGATGTATTTAAGGTGCCGAATTCACAAAAATGTGATAAATATAGTTTTACATTTGAAAAATACAGTTTACAAAGAGAATCTCATATTTTGTATTGGAGATGCATACTTTTCTGTTAAACTATATTTTACGACTCTAAACTATAGTTTACGATCAAAACTATAGTTAACAATAGTTCTGTTCGTTCATCATAGATACGTTAATCTTAGTAACAACATGTCAAAACGTTGCCTTTACAAGGATCATTTTCATTGGTTGTTATATACTTTTTGACATGAAAAGTTAATTTGTAATGAGTTTCAAGCAAATAAAATGTTTAATGTTAAAAAAAAAACTTATAGAAAAAAAATCATAAATATAAAAAAAAAAATAATTAGAAAAAAAAAACGCGCGGTATTTTGGCGGTGCGGCGGAAGCTGATGTGCGATGATGGCCGATAACAACGAAAATATGGGTAATGTCTTCATCATTTCATTGATAGTCATTAAATATTTCCGAAAGACTGAAGTATTGTCTATGATCAGATATTTATATGTTTTGTCTAAAAATCTTTATCCAGCTAGTAACTGGCCGATGAATTATGAAAAATTGTAACTTGAAAAGAAAACGTGACGTAGCAATTTCGTAGCACCCTTTTTGCACATCCTGTCATGCATTATTTTATTACAATTACATTGCCAGTATAGAATAGCCTATTTATAGCATATTATATGATAGCAATTGGCGCACTGCTCTTTTGCAAGGAAAAAATAAATATTTATTAGGCCAGCATTTTTTATTTTTAGGTTTACAAACCTGCCGCTCAAGTTTTTTGAATTTTCAAAAAAAAAAAAAAATAAAATTGAGAAATACAAAATTAATTTTTTTCTTTCCGATGTCAAATTTGAGTCGGGAATGAGATTTCAAGTTTACGAACTCGTACTTCCGGTTGTGGATGAAACATGGCGGGTAATGAATGTAGATTTGCCAAGTCCATGGCAGCACAAAAGCTTGTTTAATGTTAATATTTATCGATATGAGTGTCATTCAAAACGTTTCACAAGTTCAGAGGACAAACAAAATGCTGACGACTTTATTGCACAATGCCATGCTGGTGAGATAATCAAGTATCTGTCTGTAAATTATTTTCCTCCCACAGGTTTAAAACTGTCCATGGTAGCTTTTGTCAAAGACATTGTTTAAGTTTCTGTTATACTTATAGCTTACAGTTTTACAAGCAGCATTCTTCAGAAAAGGGTGGCTTATGTATCAGATGTAATGAATAAAACTATTGGAGAAGTTAAGTCAATTTGAGGAAGAAATAAACAAAAGCCTAAAGAAATAAACAGGTCCAGCACAATACCCTGATAAAGGTATATAGCTTGATAAAGCTATATAGCTTTATCAAGGTATTAGATATACCTTGATCAAGGAATTTAATGTTTTGAAAATAAAAAAAAAAACTTAAAAAATCAAATACTGAAAGTCGAGTTCTGAGTTGTTGTCAGTAAATTCACCCATGCATGTAAAGTACTCAAACAAAAACAATTCAGTTTAAAAATGTGTTGTGTGAGGAGACGTTATTTTGTGCTTCCTTGTTGAAACCAGAGTGTGCTTTCATGCACGAGTGGACACATTGACAACAACTCCGAACTCGACTTTCAGTATTCAGATTTTTAACGATTTTTTTTAATTTTCATGACATAAATTACCTTGATCAAGGTATTTCTAATAGCTTGATAAAGCTATATCGCTTTATCAAGCTATAAACCTTTATCAGGGTATTGTGCTGGACCTGATAAAATACTTCAACTGTTAAAAACAAGTATTATGTACAAATATATACAGGTATGTAGTATCGTTTGTGGCAGCCAGAAAAAATTATTTTAGTCTTAATTAAAAAATTTTCACTCTGCTTCCCAATACTCCCTGTCTGTTTTATGAAAGGAATTATTATTTTAGGTTTCAAGTATATTTTAGAACGATTTCTACACATTTACCAAAATCATATTATAAACAAAAATGAAGATATATTGAAAGAGTTTTTAAAAATTGATTGTTTTTATTTTCTTTTTAGATATCTGTATTTTGTCCAACATAACAAAATATATATAACACTGGCCCTAACTAGCAGATGATGAAATAAACAAAGGTTCTATTTTCCACTTTGTAATTCTTATGTGTCCAGTGGCATGGAGCCTGTGAGGAGAGCATAAAAAAGAAGAAAAATGAATGTACAAAAGTCGATAACTTATCCAAAAAAAAAAAAATTTTTTTTCCTCCTCCTAGGCCTAAAATAAAATTAAGTTTGTTTGCAGTGGCCTACCGACCCACTGAAAATGCACCCGACCCAAGATTTTTTTTTTTAGCCATTTGGTAACTATGATAAGAGGAATGATATGATATGCACATGCTGTATTCCAGAACTTTTATTTTAGTGACACATATATTAATTGTATAGTGTTCAAGAAAATTCATAATACTGTAGATCACTAAATTTTCGCAACACCTATTTTCGCGAGATAGTCATTGACTCTTTATTAGCAAAACATAATTTTCACGAATTGTTGTTTTTCCTCTATATAATCTTAAGGAATACTTTTAAACGCGAGAATGAAATTTTCGCGAGCTCATTGTCTCGCGTAATTACGCGAAATTAAGTTCTCGCGAATAAAACATGATTTACAGTAGTTTGATCATATGTCTGCTTACAGCCCAGTATCTAACTTATTAAATTGCTCTATACTATAATCTTAATTGATAATTAATTTATATTTTAATTATTACAGATTCTGATGATGACTTCCAAGTGTCTAATGTCGAAGAGTACAGGGAGAGATTTCAAAATGCTCTAACAGGATTAAATCTTCTCAGGCATTTTGATAGCTCAAAGTTGCCAAAGCGACAGAGACGCCTTCCAAAAAAACGAGGCCCTCCACCAAAGAAATTGAAAGTAAAGATGTATTTTCTACCAGAGGGGTCAAATCTACCCAAATTGTCAAAGATGGACCCAAATATCCCCATTCATCAACAGCACGGATTTGGTGAATATCCAACTAATACACATTTTTTTTAGAATATCAGTTTCTGTAATTTTTTCCTCTTTTTATTGCATGAATCACTGTGCATACAAATAGGACAATCAATTAAATAATAAAAAAGATAACTCTTGCTGTTTTGACAAAGTACAAGTTCCTTCATAAAAATAATTCTTCTTGACTCTACTAAAAATTGTGCAAAATGGGCATTTTGATTAAAAAGATTTGATCATTTGATAAAAAAACCAAGGGAGAAATATGAAAATTCAGGAATGGGGTATTCATGCATAAATTTGTTTCACCTCTCCTACTGAATTAATCAAATAAATGAGAGGTTGGATTAAAAAGATAATTTTAGTATTAAAATTATTTTGGGTATTATTAAATAATTGCAGGATATCCAGCTTCCGTATATAATAACTTCAGAGGTGGTCATGTAGAGTTTGATTTAAATCAAAACGAGGAGGAGTTCAAAGATAAGATAAGAAAGTTATATCCTACAACACTAGAAGGCAAGGATTTCTACCTCTGCACCTTAGACCATGCCAGGAACTATATTCCCGTTCCTTGTATTCCAGAGGAATTAAAAAAACTTAAGTATCAGGGGACCATGATCATCAGGGTCAGTACTGTAAGTATCTGATGATTTGATATTTTTGCATACTGCCTTGTCAAGGATTGATAATTTCTATAGTAATTGTAATAAAGTTCAGTTATGTTTGTCAAGGTGAACTTTGTAATCTTTGGTTAGGTATGCTTCCTCTCCTCATTGCTCTTAATTGATTAAATAGACATTAAAAGTATATATTAATGCTCTCTTTCTCATTCCAAAAAAAAAGGAGGGCATATTACTTTGCTGCTGTCTGTCAGTTAAGTCAATCTATCTGTCTGTCAGTCCACCAAGTTTCTCTTCTTTTCTAAGAAATATATAAAAATAACTGATTTCATGTTGCTTAGGGTAAAGAACGGATAAATTCCCAAGAAGATATCGATGGGCTGGAAGTATCCAGGTTAACAACGGACGGAAACATTACTACAAGGCCTTTCCAGTTAAGTGCTGGGCCCATTCCCCAGCCTGAACAAGTTTCCATGGTAATGTAATAGATTTAGGTCATGAACTTTTTTAATAAAAACACATTATGCACTTACAAGTATTTTCTCCTGTCAATACATGTACGGAAGGAACATATAGTAATGAATACATTATTTCTTGTTTAGCAAAATAGGTTGGCAAATTCTACATCTTTAAAGAAAGACGATGATGTCACACTTCCACAGGTAAGAATAAGTCAAGTTGGTGACACAAAAATAATACATTACACCCACTTAAAAATTTAAATGTACCTTTCCATTCCTCTTAAACGCTTATTCTTTCTACAGATACTGCTGCCAAGGAGAAGAGTGTCAAAAGCAGAATCTACTTGTTCTGTAAGTAATCTATGAATAACACCTACAGTACAATGAACTGTATACAGGGCTATATTTGCCCTGTGTTATTTTTGTCCTTTCACATTTGGCAACAAGTTTGCCCCGTTTTAAAATCACCAAAAAAGATTAATGTTTAAGATATTATACTGTGTACTTGTAATTCGCCCCATTTTAGATTCGCCCACTTCTGACGAGAACGAAAGGGGCAAAAATAAAATGGGGCGAAAATTTCCTTGTGTGCAGTATTTTGATGTCCCTCTTTGAAGAAGGGAGGGCATATTGCTTTGCTGCTGTCTTTTGGTTGGTCAGTTGATCTATCTGTCAGTGCACTAAGTTTCTTTTCATTTTCTTTGCAGAGGTTGTACTTGTTGAAATGTCAAATTTGGTTTACAGATTTATCCTAAGAATATGTATATCAAGTTCTTTTTTGTATATATACAAGCCATTGTTGACAGAGTTATGCTCCTTGGACTTAGAAAAGTCAGTGGTTGAAGGCATGCCATTTCAATGCTCAATGGCTGTAAGTGCTAATATAGGAGAAAATTTGCAGCACTCCATTGCAAGTTAGGGGTGAAACGATACGCATCCTTCACGGTTCGATACGTATCGAAAAATTTGGTCTCGGTTCGGTTATTTTCGATACAATACATTTTGATAGAAGGAAACATATTCAATGTTTTTATGCTACCTTTTACTTAATCTAGTAAAATAATTTATGTACAAAATGGATAGAAAGTATCAATTTAATTGATTTGATTGTTAAAAATTATTTTACAAATTTCGAGTCCACACAAACTTATGTTTCTGAACTAATTACATAGAAAACATGTTTACAGGTTTATACTTTATGCCAAATCGGACTGAATGACTATCCCGACCGAAAAACGAACCGAACTGAAAGTAGAGATTTTGTACCGTGTATCGAATCGAGAAAAAATACCGCGGTGAACCGTTTCACTCCTACTGCAAGTAAAAATTTCTTGAGAGGCACTTTACTACAAACAAATATGACAGATATATATGAAAAAAAAAATTAAGATTTAAAAGCAGATGTTCTAGCATCATGATCATTTAGGCTATATGAATTCAATTCTCTGGTTCTCAGGCCAATTTAATTTTCTCCAAACCAAATGCGAGATGGAGGCATTTTATTTATCGTTTTATTGGCAATAAAGTAAGTAAGGGAGGTTATTTTCTTTAATTTTAAATTTCCAATTTTCTTTGAGTAAAGATAATTTATTTTGTTCATAGATATACTTTCCATGTCTAATCAAAAGATTTACTTAATCCATTGCTTATCAGCATGTGAACATCGGAGGCAATGTCTTTGAATGTATTTTCAAACGAAGTAGCCAAAATCTCTTCAAATGGCTACCGGAATGATATTTGAGTACTAAACTACGAAAAAATGAGGAAAGAACTTTTTCCAGATTATGCTCAGCTATATCAATTTTTTTATGTTATCAAAAAATACAATAAAATTAGCAATGCAGCTACCTCAAAATGGATGCGCACGGACCAGAGAACCAAAATTTCATTTTATGTACTGTAGCCTAACAGGAAAATGATTTTGTTGTATTCAATTAATTGTCAATAAAAATGATATGGCCATTTGCTAAGTTATTTGCCACTATACACAAAAAGAGATGAATGTTTTCATTTATAGGAGAGGGAGCTGTATATTTATGGAAAGTTCTGTTGAGATTGTGGCACAGAGACTTTGTTTTTAAATATAACGTAATGTAAGTCATGTTAAAAGAATGTACAGAAATATATAAAAATAACTGATTTCATGTTGCTTAGGGTAAAGAACGGATAAATTCCCAAGAGGATATCGATGGGCTGGAAGTATCCAGGTTAACAACGGACGGAAACATTACTACAAGGCCTTTCCAGTTAAGTGCTGGGCCCATTCCCCAGCCTGAACAAGTTTCCATGGTAATGTAATAGATTTAGTTCATGAACTATTTTAACAAAAACACATTATGCACTAACAAGTATTTTCTCCTGTCAATATACATACAGAAGGAATGTATAGTAATGAATACATTATTTCTTGTTTAGCCAAATAGGTTAGCAAATTCTACATCTTTAAAGAAAGACGATGATGTCTCACTTCCACAGGTAAGAATAAGTCAAGTTGGTGACACAAAAATAATACATTACACCCACTTAAAAATTTAAATGTACCTTTCCATTCTTAAACACTTATTCTTTCTACAGATACTGCTGCCAGCGAGAAGAGTCTCAGAAGCAGATTGTACTGTAAGTAATCTATAAATAACACCTACAGTACAATTTTTTTTTATACTCCTCCAAGAAGAAAGGAGGGCATATTGCTTTGCTGCTGTCTGTCAGCCAGTTGGTCTGTCTGTCTGTCCACCTTTTAGTTTCCTTTCATTTGCTTCACAACTTTTGCACATACTGAAATGAAATTTGGTATACAGTTGAAATGAAATTTGGTATACAGATTTATCCTAAGAATATCTAGGTAAAGTTTTGTATTGGGTATGATCATTTTTCACAAGATTTAAGTTCTGCAAATTAGGTCTAATCAAGCCATTTTAGACAGAGTTATGTCCCTTGGACTTAGAAAAGTTCTTAATATGTCTAAGAGGGGGCATATATGTGTTTTAGTTACAAACATCTCTTGTTTATATAGAAAACATGTCACATGTTTATCCAGATACGTCGAATGACTGCCTCCAGCTGATATTTACGCAAGAATATTTTATTGCCGTTTTTCAGTTCTGTTTTCAGTCTCAACCAGATATTTTCAATAATGTTCAAATCAGGAGTCTGAGCGGGCCAAACCAATGAATGCAGATTATTCTGTAATTTATATTCTTGAACTATCTGGGCTCTGTGAATAGGAGCGTTGTCGTCTTGAAATATATAGTTATATATTTTTCGAGGAAAAGATATATCTGGCAAAAGTTGATCTTCAATTATATTAATGTATTTTTGAGCATTAATGTTACCATCTACAACAGTCACAATCCTTACACTGTTGAAGTGATGCAGCCCCATATCATTAAACTAAACTTCGGTGTTGGAGGTTGCAAGAGACAACATGGCATCCACTCTTCGCCAACCTTTCTCCATATAAAAACACGGTTATCAGTCCCAACGTCTACTTTGAAAATAATTTTTGCTACGTAATTGTGACATCTGACAGTCACATGGATATGCTTTATATATATACTTATTTAGTCAGCATTGAGCTTTGTACAATGCAATATAAATAACGATTTGTTCAATTGATTATAAAAAAAATTTTGCATTAAAATAAACAAAATATTTTTTCAAAATAAATGTATATATATGTTGCATATCACAAAATTTTTTGTACTCACCTGGTGTTAATTTTTATTTATTTAATTCATATTTTAATATTAATATTTAGCATATTTATTTTTTGTTTATAGATGGAAAATATCCAAGAAAGACGCAATTTAATGGCTCTTCAAGACATAGAATATCAGGAGAGTTTGCGTAAAGATAGAGAAAAAGTTAGTTTTCATATTGAAGCTGAACACTACTTGTAAAAAGCATAGTCCGCCATATTTCTTTCCCATTTTTCAATGCTCTCTACAACCCCTATTTTAAGAGCAGATCGCTTGTCAGTTCACTGTATTTTGCTGTAGAGATCCGACAAGTTTAGTCATATTTCTTATACCGTCTAGAGCCATGCTACTCGGTCATGATGAAATCATCAATTTTTACATATTTTTTTCAAAACAAAAGCATCATGAAAAATCTTGTTAATATATTGTTTACAAACAGAAATGTACATAAAAACAAGGAATAAACAAAAAATATCTAAGAAAAAGAAATGAATAATACTACTTATGTTGGCCACAAGTTTCGAGTGTGCAATCTGGTGTAATGAAATCGGAACAATTTATATACCTGTCTGACGGTGGCTATTTATGAGAAGTGTTCAGCTTTAAGTAGGTCTAGATGTAGGAAAAGAAGGTTATTTTCCACCATTTAACTTGTGGGGCAAAAATGAAACTTCTGAATTAACTTTATTGCTCATTCAGGATGCATTTTAGCAAACATCTTTTAACTAATGTGGCTATTAGCCTATTACATTAAATGGAGATGGGTTCAGGGAGCCAGGTATTTTTGGTAAGAAAAAAAGTTTTATGACCCCCCCCCCCCCCATTGAAATTCCAAACCTAATTGCACATTAATCCAAAAAATTATTTGTCTACTACCTTAAATTTAAGAATTTTAACAAAATATTGAAGTTTTGTGGACATATTTTTTTAAAATGAATATAATAAGACATTGCCAAGAATTTCTGAATAACACATTTGAGATATTAACTTCAGATTAAAAATAATTCTTTTATTAAAGGTTCAAAAGATCAAAGAGCAAGAACAAAGAGATGCCGAATTGCAGAAAGTGAGCACTTTTTAGCTCACCTGAGTCAAAGGCTCAAGTAAGCCTTAATGATCAAATTTTGCCCATCGTCCGTCCGTCTGTCTGTAAACTTTTCACATTTTCAACTTCTTCTCGAGAACCACGGGGTCAATGTTAACCAAATTTGGTACAAAGCAACCTTGGGTGAAGGGGAATATAAATTGTTAAAATGAAGGGACATGTCCCCTCGCAAGGGGAGATAATCAAGAAAAGACAAAAATAGGGTGGGGTCATTAAAAAATCTCAAAAACAACTTGCACAGAAAAGCTGAAACTTATTTGGATTCATTTTTGGATAGTGTAGATTTTAAATTGTGCAAATCATGACCCCTGGAGGTAGGGCAGGGTCACAATATGTAAACCAAGTTTGACATTGAAATAAATATTAGGAAAAATCTTTTTTTTTTTTGGGGGGGGGGGGGGACTTCTGGGCCAGAAAAGCTGTAACTTATTTGAAAGTGCTCATGGTGGGGTACTATTGATTTTGTATTGTCCAAATTATGACCCCCGGGGGTAGGGTGGGGTCACAAAAGGTAAAAGAAAGGGGAAATCTGGTAAAGAAATGCTATTCAGGTGAGTGATGTTGCCCATAGGACTCTTTTTAGAATCATCTTGTTTCATAAAATCTGTGTACCTATTAATATCATGATTGAGTAATTAGCATTATACACAATATATAGTGAACTGATAACAATGATTAATGTTCAATTTGATAAATAACCTCACAGAACTTACATATGTAATGTCACCCTTTGTACATATTAAACAATTTTTAAGTTGAGAGAGGAAAGAAGATCAAAAATACCAACTGAACCAGAGGAGGGTATAGAACTAAAAATTAAGAGTCGGCAATGGACCGTAACAAGAAGATTTTTGCAAACCACACCAGTGGAGGTAAGATTTATATTCTACCCATGCAAATAATTAAGATTAAGTGTAATGAATGTAATAGATGGTTTGGATTCAAATCAGTTGGAAACACTATGCTCCTGGCGGAAACAAAGTTTAAAAAAAACTACCGTATATACTCGCCTCTAAGTCGGTCTGCCTATAAGTCGGTTGTATTTAATAAGCTTAAAAATCAGAGGGACTGACTTCATATAATACCATTCATTTTATAGCTCGCCTATAAGTCGGACCTAGAGTTTTGGACCTGAAATTAACTCCCAAAAATCCGACTTATAGGCGAGTATATAGGGTATTTTTAGCATATAGGTCACAGTCAAGGTCATAAGGTCTTTGATCCTAATTGTCATTTAAAAGAACATTATTAGTGTAGTATGCATACCAAATATGAAGTCTCCATCTGCTATGGTTCAAAAGATATGGTAAAAGTTTAAAAAAGCTAGTTTAAGCATTTAGATTACAGTCAAAGGTCAAAAGGTCAATGATCTTGTCATTTGAAAGAACTATCAGTGAAGTAAGCATACGAAAAATGTAGTCTTTATCTCCTATGGTTAAAACATGGCGAAAATTAGAAAAAGCTAATTTTAGCATAAGGTCACAGTCAAGGTCAAGAGGTCATTGACCATGGTGTCATTTGTATGAGTTTAAGTAGCTTCTTTTATCATATTAACAAAGGATCTATTAAAAGTAAAAAAAAAATTAATAACTTGAGGATCCAGAGCTCAAGATATTAGGTGCGTATTTGCAGAAATGACATGTATTGAATTTGTCAAAACACGCATTGATAATAAAAATGGGGCACACAGTTACGCAGAAGCTAGCGACTGTAGATAAGTATTACACCACTAAAGTACTGCATACGAGGGGGTGATTGATACAAGTATGACCTAGCTACTGATATAAATTAAGGTTAACTCAGTGTTTGATACTTCACAAAAGAAAATACATATTTTTAAATGACCAGGAATATTCTTACTGATAGTAAAAGCAACAATAATTTTCATTTCGGGTGAAAGAATGGAAGATTTAGATAAAATTGATTTTGTATATGTCATTTTACAGATAGATGGAATCTCTTAAATTCTCTATAGTTCTCTTTTTGTAAGAAGCTTACACAGGGTTTGTACATGCATAAATTTATATTTTATTAGGGATCCAATGCCAATTTCCTTTGATTTATCTGAACTAAATGCCATACTATTAATGAAGATTTTTTTCACACTCATATACTCTCGTTACAATATCATGGTAAATGTGGGTTCAGGAAAAGATTTTAGTGTAGCATGTGGTTATTTTACCTATAGTATGTCATCTTCTTTGTCAAAAAAGATTGTTTCTCAGTTTTATACTAAAGGTTTTGCTGGTATTTTCAAAATTTATCTAAATAAATGCTAAAGGTCTTGCTGGTATTTTCAAAATTTATCTAAATAAATGCACGCAGCAACTGTCCTTAGCAGTTTTTTTTTTTACTATGAACAAAATACTCTAAAATTTATCATTTTTTTGGAAATAAAAATCTGCATAGTAATTTGAAATTCAGGGAGTAAATAGGTTACATTTTTGGGTGAAAAAAATTTTCTGGATCGAGCTCTGCTGATCTCTGAGGGTCATATTATGGTAAAGCTTGATATTAGAGGTGTTGTAACTGGTGAGATGTAAAATTATGATATTACCTTTTTATTCTTTTTTATTTGCAGGTTTTGATGAATTTTATTGGCAGTATGCCATCTTCATCCAAATTTTTTAAAGTAGCTATTCCTGGAATGGAGAATCCTTTATATTCTCATTTATATCATGGGTGTTTGAGGAATGTTGGCCTCGTCTCAAGTTCTGTGTTACAAGTTACCTGGCTAAGTGAGGTATGTATAAAAATATTCTAAAAGTAAAAGGTTGAAGTTTTTTTCTGGTTCTTTTGTAAATTACACTTCTCTATAATGTGTAGGGTGAGTTCACCATGCATCGGACACATACCTTGCTTCGGACAACTTTAGGCAATAAACTCTCTTTCAACTTAAGAGTTCCATGTATTTATTTGTTTCTGTCTTAAAGATGAAGATTTAAATTTTCTAATGACACCGATTGTCATTATCATGCCGTGATAAAAATACCCCGATAATGGCCTTAAAGTTATGTCATATTTTACATCATCAAAGGGGAATAACCAGGAATTTATGATTTAGCAATTTTTAGAGTTATCGTTCTTTAAATTCGACTTCAACGGAACAAGTCAGACTTTGGTGAATTTTGTTAAAGATTGGCAATTTTGCATAATTTTAAAAAAAAATCTCTTCAATGCTTGTATAATTTTTTCTAGAGCTGGTTTTTTCTAGTACGGACACGCATCGGACACTTTCTGATGCAAAGGTATAAGCACCACCATTTTTATGCAGAACCTAATTGACAGCTGTTTTTTGCGGAAATAGAAAATAAAAATTCTATATTTTTATTCAAAAAACAAATTATCGATATATGACGTCTAGAATTTGACTCCATTTATCTCTACAAACCAGAGTATGATAAACCATGAGACAATGGCGCAAATTACCGCATTACAAGCATTTTAAAGCATTTTTAAGGCAGAGTGAGGTATCTCGAATGGTTCTACATTTATGCAACAAAGTCGTCAATTAAATTTATGTTGAGGGTGATTTCTTAAATAAAATATAAAATATATCCATATCAAGGACTTTAAAGCATTATGATAAAGGTATGATATTTTTTTGCTCCAAATACCGTCTGTCCGATGCATGGTAAATAATACTGTAAACCAAGTATTATACGCGTGCGATAAATATCCGCGAGTTCCGCGAGTATCCTCTGCTCGCGGATATTTATTGTCGCGAACCAGTTGTTCATTATATTCCTATATTATGTTTTATTTAGAGTTATTTGCCCTTTTTTCAATACCGATCCCGACGGTTCAATAATTAATCAAGGAAGGACTATACTGTTATTGTACAAGAAGCAGTTGAAATTTAATTTCAAACATTCAGAAAAAATAAAAACGAATGTCAAAATCATTTCAGCTTGTGTTATAATTGTTCATTTATTGTTACAGACGAGTCGAGATCCGAGGTAGCCTGGTTAATTATGGCTAATTATGACCCAGTCCTGCTCTGTCCCAACCATATATAATAATTGCCCCTTGGCTATGTAGATCTTGGAAAGTGTTGATTACCCAATTAGTATGAGGCACTTTAACAATTGAGAGTTTTAAATCAATTTTAATCTCCTAGATTTTTTCCCGATTTTCGTCTGAGCGTTGTGAAAATGTGTATATGGAGTATACTCAAGGTAAACATTTTACCCACTTTAGGGGCGGATATAAGATTTTAAATGGACGCAATGCACAGAATGTCTTGAAAAATGTGAAAGCCGACCTCACGCTATCATTTTACCTAGTTTATGGGTGAATATAAAATTTAAATTTGATTCAAAAATACTCATGGAAATGAAAAAATGTGACCACTCGTTCGCGGATATTAATCGTCGCGGATTAGTTCTCTAGCGATCAGTCGCGAATAAAAAATGACGCGTATAATAATTGGTTTACAGTATCTGATCCATGGTGAATTCTGAGTTATTTTTAAAACCTCGATTTATGAGGATATTTTCTCAATAAAAGGCATAAAATTGTGTCCAAAATTTATATTTTAATCACATTCAAAATGTTAAACTCCATTTTGATAAAATTCTGTCTGTAGCGATATCACTAAAACTTGTTGAAGTACAAGAGTATCCGATGCATGGTGAATTCACCCTAAATGTTTATGTTGACACCAATCAAGGGCCCTCAGGAAGCATACAATTGTTAAAGTATGATTACAATTCTTTCATGGAGGTACATATGGGAGAAGTGTAATACCACATGTTGAATCATCATGAAAATTTAAGATTTGTCAAATCAAACATTTACATAGCTACTTTAATTCTATTATGTTCCAGGATGAAGTTACCCTTGAGGAAGTTAATGTGATGGAGACTGACCAACAACCCTCTACATCCTCTTCTATTCCTCGTCCCCAGAGACAGGCTGCTGCACTTTGCAATGTAAAAATGAGAGATTGGCTTATTCCAAAGTCAAGCTTACAGCAAGTAAGCTAGATCGAGAACATTTCATGCACATGCATGTATATTCATGCCACATTTAATAAGTTTATACTACTTCAAATAGATATTGTACTTAATATAGTGCATTCTTTTTAAGAGTAGGGTTTTGACTGTTGAGAGCTCTGATGATGACTCCCTTCCAGATATTCCAGACACTTACAGGTATTTATTTTTTCCTGTGATTTAGCGGATGCACTTGTGCTTTAATTACATGTACTTTGTTGCTCATAGTTTATTTCTTTAAGTAATTCCAGTGAAATTTCAAATGGACATTAATATCACCTTTGGAACAGAGTCCAATAACTGAAATACTTTATACAATATTATAAGCATCAATACAATGGGAATTGACTAAAACCTATGGCACGCTTAGCTCACAAGAATGAGCTAAACATAGTTTCACAGTTGAAAACTATAGTTAACAAATTGTTAACTATATGAAAGCGTGCCATACTTGTCAGCTGCATAATTTAGGATGTGAGACAGGCATTATTTCTATGCTTTATCAGATTAATTAACCATTTCAATTTATATTTTATAGGAATTATGTTGATGTAGCATGTATTTCATCCGATTCATCCTCTGAATCAGAAATAGACAAAACAAATTATCCTGAATTGACCACAGAGCCTGAGGAGTAAGTCTAACATAGATACATTCGAAAATGAATGAACCAATAAGAAATGTATTATAGATGATATTGATGATAACTCAATTATTTTCAGAAATGACCCTTTGCTCACCTTGACAATATTGTCATCCAAAATTCAAACATCTGCTGTCACGCGCATCAATGTCAACAGACAAAATGTTTGGGAGTGCACCATCAGAAAACTTAAAAAGAAAGATTTTATGCCATTTAACGACCTTCTTATTAAGTTTTCGGATCAATTTGGAGAGATGGAAGAAGGGATTGACCAAGGTGGTCCCAAGCGGGAATTTTTAGATCTTTTGATGGAGTATACCCTCAACTCCTCACTCTTTGAAGGATCTTTGACATCCAAATACTTGTCATGGAACAAGAAAGGTATTAAAAATATAAAAAATTTTGATACAGTAGATAAAAAAAAACATTGCCTTTCATTCAGAGACTTGTGACTGACTGACAAACATAGTTTTGCAGACTAAATTCTTGTTTACTCTTTTCATTTAGCATTTGAATTAAAACCAACACTTCATTAAGGGTAGGTTAATCTAAAATTATATGTGCATGTATGAGATTAACTGCATTGAGATTTTAACAGAAATTTTAAACAAGCAATTCTTGTCATGATTTTCATGCATAGATTGTGTACATGGTCAACTCTGCTGAAATAGGTATTCAATAACTTCATGTAATTATAATCACTTTGAATTCAACTAGTGCTAATTGTAACGGGGACCGTTACAGATGTTCCCCAAACGCTCCCCATGTCCCTTATCGTGCCTTATTCCTCTAAGACCTTTTATAAATATGCTAATATAAGTATCTCAGGATTTCATTTAAGAATATAAAAGTTACAATGATATCAACTATCAACGATATATTGTTTAACGTTTTGCATGCGCGCACACGTACAAGTACATGCATATGCAAGATGATTATGGCATGTTGATTAAGCGATTAACATATCTTTCTATCCCGCGAATCAAAGAAAAAAATACATATATAAATTTACCATTTTTCAAGCATATGTCATATTTTTTATATATCGATTCACATTTTATTTCTCTACTTATTTTAACCTCGGGCTCAAAGTTGGTTTTATTCCGACGACAAGGCAGGGGTAAAGTCGACTAAGGGTATCACGCCAATACCTAACCAATCAAAATGAACTTATTCAATAGTAGTTCCATACATGGAAAAGGGATTTTCCTTTCTGTTCAGAATTTTTTAAATATTTCCTCTCAGGCCATTTTGACAACTCTGATACCTGTGCCTGGTAAATTTTATATACTTTGTAAATAGATATATACAGGTTTTTTGACCGGAACTATTCATTTTTTCCAATGCATAGGGGGCTACTCTATGGGTTTTACAAGAGATGTTTAAAAAGACATTCGTGTCAGCTAATGTGACCTATATTGTTTAACACCTTCTTATTAATATTTTTTCATGAATGCAAATATCTGATTATTTTACGAAGGAGCGTACATCTATATTGATTTTTAATATACCGAAAATCGCTATTTCTGGGGATTGTGTAATTCTGAAAAAAATTCAAATAAATTTCAAAGGTAAATTAAACAAAGGATGCTTGGTATTAAAATATTATTTCAAATCAGTAGAATTGAATGCTATTAACGACATCTGAATAAATAGGCTATAAAAGGCTTATATGCCAACTTTGGTCATCTGCACTTTAATTTTAAACACGACAGGATTTGTAATTTTTTCTGTATAAATTAATAATTTCTATATACTTTGGAAACTCAAATGAAATATTTTAATACACTTTCCTCGAGCTCTTTTCTGCACTTTTCCTGAAATTTTATGTGGGTCCGAGGTGTTATTTGAGTTTAACAGTGATTCTCTACGTTGCCATTAATTTGATTTGTTTGTGTGTGTGTGCGGGGGGGGGGGGGGGGTATTTTTATTCTTAACCTATTTAACGTTGGAGTTGAATCTTGTATCTTATTCCAAGAACTGAAGATTGACTGTGACATTTGGATGAAAGGTCAAGGTCATTAAAAACCACCACCTCTTTAACTTCTAACCTGTCAACCGAAATAAACTCTGAAAGGTGTTTCTAGATACATGTACATGTACTTCATGTTTCTTTTTACCCTTGGGTCAAGGACAAAGGTTAAGGTCGATTTCAAGTTCATAGGTCAAGGTGATTTTGGTAAATAGCTAATATCAACATTTTATTCAGGTTACCAGTGACCTTGACCTAAGTTTCAAGGTCAAGGGTAAAAAGATCTGCATGCTTCAGTATGTTACATGTCTTGACATTTAGAAGTTCTTAATTCTGCATGAACATCAAACACTCAAGTATACTGTCTTTTAATACATTGTGTGCGGTCGCATGTGCATGCACGTCCATGCATTTACTTTTGATAGTAGTATAGTGTAGGCAATCATTATATCTATTCATATTTGAAATTTCACCCTGTATTATTGAGAACCAAGAAAGTTGTAGGCATTTAAAGTTTTAGCCAATCAGATTGCAGCACACGTGCATGTGCGTGCGTTCATGATTATTCTTATATATCATGCTGTAGATCTTCATAATGTAAGACTATGTTCAAAATTTCAAAGGATTTTGTCAGAAAACAAAATAGATATTTAGACTTTTAGTTTCAGCCAATCGCAGCGAAGGGCACCTGCATGCGCGTGAGATCTTGTTATTTTGACCATGTCATCATGTCTATACTACTATTATATCCTTATATTATGAGTTTCAAAGCATTTCATCCAATATTTAAAAAGTTACGGCTAAATCTATTATATTGGTAATTTCACGTGTTACACGTGCGCGCACATGCACGCACGTGCGCGCAAAATGACCTTCGTTCCGCACATCTACATAACATACCTAGTGACCCTTAAAAGGTTTCACCTAGATCGGATGAGTAGTTTACGAGAACACTCGCGGACAAAAAAGTACCGGAGAACAAAGAAAAAATTCAGAAAAAGTAAAAACTAGTGCTAATTGTTACGGGGACCGTTACAGATGTTCCCCAAACGCTCCCCATCTCCCTTTTGGTGCCATTTTCCCTGTAAGCTTCATTAAATAAGACAAACTTTATGCATTTGAGACTTTAACATGTTTAACAACGTTTACCCAGAAGGGTACCAAGTTCATTCAAATTTTAGCATCTTGCACGCGTGCACATGTGAATGCATGTGCGTAATGACCATATCATCTTGTCTACACAATCTATATACTTTAATATACTAAATATTAAAGTATTTAATCTAAAAGTATTAAAACATACGCTCATTCAAGTGTATTTTTGATTTTACTCATTTCACGTGCACGCAAGTGCATACATGAGCATGGTGGCATACCTTCTTGTAGAAGTTCATTACATCTATCTATGTTCTAAATCTCACTCCGTTTGGTTGAAATCCAAGGGAGTTATAGCTGATTAAAATTTCAGCCAATCAGATTGCAGAGTACGTTCACGCACGTGTATGGATGTGCATGGTGACCATACCTTCTTGTAGAAGTCCAATATATCTATCTATGTTCCAAATCTCATCCTGTTTGGTTGAAAACTAAGGGAGTTATAGCTATTTAAAATTTCAGCCAATCAGATTGCAGCGCACGTACACGCACGTGTATGGATGTGCATGGTGACCATACCTTCCTGTAGAAGTGTATTATATCTATCTATGTTCCAAATCCCATCCTGTTTGACTGAAAACAAAGGGAGTTATAGCTAATTAAAGTTTCAGCCAATCAGATTGCAGCGCACGTGCATGCACGTGTTTTCATAAAAATTGTTATATATCATGTCGTAGGATATCCTAATGCATGGCTATGTACAAAATTTCAAAGGATTTCATCAAAAAACAAGAAAGATATCGAGACTTTAGTTTCAGCCAATCAGAGCGAAGCGCACGTGCATGCGCGTGAGATCTTGCTATTTTGACCATGTCATATTGTCTATGCTACTACTATATCCTTATATTATGAGTCTCAAAGCATTTCATAAAAAAGGTAAAAATTTACGCCTATATCAATTAAATCAGTCATTTCACGTGTTGCTCGTGCGCGCTCTTGCAAGCACGTGCACACAAAATTGCATGTTGACAATGTCATCTTATCTACATTTATAATATGTCTATATATTCTAAATATCAAAGCATTACATCGAAAAATGTAAAAGTTACGGCAATTTCAAGCATATTGGTCATTTCACGTGTTGCACGTGCGCGCTCTTGCAAGCACGTGCGCGCAAAATGACCTTCGTTCCGCAAATCTACATAACATGCCTACTTACCCTAAAAAGGTTTCCCCTTAATCGGATGTGTACTTTACAAGATCATTCGCGGACAAAATTTTCCCGAGAAGAAAAATAATAATAATAAGAAACAGAGTAAAAACAATATGTTCCCCAACTTCGTTTGGGGAACATAATTAAGGTACTCAATGTATAACAACTATATTGTATACATAATGAATGAATGGTCTGATATTTTTAATCATGGTAGCATTTTGAAGATAATATCAAATAAAAATACTCCACCAAAGGAATTTACAAAATTTTGATTTATATAATACATGTATTTTGTTCAATTTAAATTTCACCTTGAATTTTACATTGAAGTTTATGGACAGGCCGAAGTGCATGTTCATGAGATGTTTTAAAAAGTAATTTGAATTTTAAACTAATTTATTCATTAAAATATGCCCAAACTCCCTCTTTTTTAATCTATGAAATAAAATAACTATTTACTGCAGAAATTTTGAGAAATCAAAAATGGTCTTCTTTTTATCAAGGGCAGATAACTCTTCAAAAATTTTTAAAGTGCAAAATGACTGTCCCCATGTATGTTTTGAGTCTTGTGAATTTGGTTCATCTTACTTTTATTGTTGTTATCTAGCAATGTTTTTTTAACTACATGTAGTTTAAAATTATTTAAAATCCCTTCATAATATATCAAATACTGTACAAGTACTTTTTTACACATGGTAATTATTTACGTTTTGGACAAAGTCACAATATCTCCAAGGAAATGTGTCCCATCGTACTCAAGATATGTGTATAAGGAATATACTGAGAGTTCAAGAAATCTGCGGACTTAAGAGAAATATATAGATTCTGTGGAATTATGACCCCTAAAGGCCCTTGGAAAATGGTACATCTACATCTACCCAAAACCCTTGCTTTATCAATAAATACACATACTTCATGTGCAAGTTCTTTTTTGTGAGCTATTAATTATTATACAATGTAATTAAAAGTACCATATTTTCTACATGTACTAGTACATGATTCATTGAATTATTTATTATAAAAGGTAGAAACTGAAGATTTTAAAATAAAATTTCTTATTTTGATAGCATTTGACAATGATGACTACTACTATGCAGGAATAGTCGTTGGACTATCTCTAGTACATGGAGGTCCAGCACCCCGATGTTTTGATCCTTCATTTGTAAAAGCACTTCTTAGAGGGCCAGAATCAGTAAAGGTGACCATAGAAGATATGCCAAATGAGGAACTAAAATCAAAATTAGAGAAGGTTTGAAATTGTTTTTCAAATTGTTGAGTAATAACACAGAT